ACTGTAGTGACTCACTCATATCTAACTCCATATCTATCTCTCAAACATTCTTGAGCCTAAGTCAGGTAACCATAGAGATCTTGTGACTTTAGTCTGACATTTAAACAAAGGCCGTGAACAGCCCATTGCTCTGGAAGTTATGTACACAATTGGAAGAGAACAATGGACACAAAGCAGCTATTTTTTAAAGGTAAAATCCAAAATTGTTATAGAATTGTTAATGCACAATGAGCACTTGAGCAAGAAGACGTTTTACCTGCCCTGTACATATTCAAACCTGTTTACACAGATGTAAAGAGTGAAAAAATAACCTCATTCAAATTATTCTTGTGAAATGTGTTGACTTGATTAATGGTTTTGTTTTTCAGACTATAAGTCACACTTTTTTTCATCCTTTGGCTGGGTTTGCGACTTATACTTGTAAGTCAAAAATGAATCAAATAGCCCTAATTTTAATTGATAAAGACTTGGTAAAGTATTTAACAGCAAAGTAAAGTTTGACCTTATTGTCCAGCACTGTCACTGAGGCACAAACACTGCGCAGGACATACAAAGGACAAATACATATTCAGATATGCACTGTGCAGTCACTGACGTATTTGACATCTGTTCTGCCAGCATGTGAGTCTCGCCCTTCTGTATCAGTGTCTCTGTTCCCTTAGAACAGCTACATCTGTTCTGCCAGCATGTGAGTCTCTCCCTTCTGTATCACTGTCTCTGTTCCCTTACTCACATCTCAGCTCCTCTACCTGCCTCCCTGTTTCTGTCTTCCAGTGATACCTGTCCTTTCCACCTCTTCCCAATGTGTTTACCTGTATCTTGTTTGAGTTTACACATCATCTGCCTCTAGAGCAGTGGTTCCCAACTTTTTTTGGCCGGTGACCCCATTTTGACATCACACATTTCTGGTGACCCCAGAGACTTTTTATATATATATAAGTATACTATAAGTTGCCCTTTTTTTCATCCTTTGGCTGGGTTACACACTTAAAATCAGGTGCAACTTATATATTGAAATATAATTTCAAGTTTGTTTCTTTCACACTGGTACACAGGCCTAGAGGGGACTTATAGTCCAGAAAATACTGTTGTCAGACATTTGATTTTCCATTAAATGTTTTTATAGTAATTTTTTATTAGTCTAATTACTAGACCTTTTAGGCTTTCCCCTTTGAATTTCAGGCTCCCCAACATGGGGTTGCAACCCCAAGGTTGAAAAACACTGCTCTACAACGTCTTCTCTCCACCTTCAGAGATGCAGTTAAAAGCCTGTGGGGCAGAAGCTTCTCCCACACATTCCCAAGTGACCTGGACTTGGCGTTTGTGTTTATCCGGTCCATCCCTCTGGCACCTAGAGCAGCCCACCACCAGCCTGTGATCATTGTACAATACTACGAGTGTCCTCTGGGGTAAACTTCGGATTCCTGTTGTTTCAACTGTGGGTGGAGGGTCTGTTTTCTATGTGAAGATGGATTCCTGCTCTGCCCGTTCAGACCAGCCAGCAGATGATCACTTTACAGCCCACCGTTCGGCCCTGGATTCAGAGACAGGCCCATGGCTTCCTCTGTGCAGGATCATGTTTCTCATCATGGATATGACACATATTCCACAGTATAAAGATGCAGATGTTCTTTAACAGATCAATACCCCAGTGATTATGCGCCAGCATTACAGCATTTAGACTTTTTGACCTGTCAATTTCGGGGAGTTTTAAACACGAGAAGAAGGAAGGCATATTTCAAATAGAATAGTAATGTGGATAACCAGTGATTTACAGCAGTGGTCTCCAACCTCTGGGCCGCGGACTGGACTGGCCACGGACCGGCACTTAGTGTGCTACAAGCTAAAAACTCAAAAGAAGAGGGGAAGTATTGCACCATAGATGAAATATTCTAAATCAGGGAGGTCCACACTTTTTTTCTTGCACAGGAGCTACTATTCAAATGACCAGGTTGAAGTTTATTTATTCTGGACATATTTATTCACTCATATAAAGTGGACATATTTTATATAAATAATATATGCTGGGGTACTGATTAAATGCATGAAGCTCTTTGAGACAAATGATTAAATCCTTACAATATATGGTCACTACTACACACTACAGAATTTCATTTATATTTATTTTTTCATGATCTACCAGCACTCCCTCTACGAGCTACTTATTGGGCACCCTGTTCTAATGCATGCAGAGAGCTCGACTTCGAAGACAAGTGCTCAGTGCACATCTCCAAGGTTGTTATCTGTGTTAATATCAAAACAAAACGCTGTAATTCGATGAGAAATTGAGTGTCTCATAAAGGAACTACAATCATCAAATTCATATAATTACTGTCTGCTTTCATTTGTATTGGCTGCGCATTGTTGACATTGTTAATACTGAAAGGGTAACAACCGTATACAAACCCCCGCAGTCCTCAGTAATGGCATTTACTTTTCACAGTCTGCGTTGGCAGCTGCGTTTTTTGTATGACACCTGTTCATATTCTGTGGGTTTTTAATTGGATTTTCACGACTGTCAATCTTCTCCATCCAACAGTTATGACTCATGAAAACTTCTCATCAAATTTCTATCTTCAAGGTGCCATTCTGCATCTCTACACAATAAAATTGCAGCTCAATTTCTTTTTAAAAAAGTAGAAAATATATACTCTGGAATACTTTGTACAACACAATGTTAGTAGGTTGACTGTCTAGTTTTGGCACAGTTAACCTGGCTACTTTTTAAGTACTTCTTTGATTTCTACTTTGTGACTCTCTGAAACTGTGGGGAAGGTTTCAAAAACTGTCAGTGAAACGTTTGAGACAACTAAGAAATGTTCTAATGACTTGGATTGTGTGTCTGTATCTGTGTCTTTGTGTCTGTACGAGAGGCTGTTATCGAGCTCTTTAATAAGCTTTCAAATGGAGAGTGTACCAATTCATTCTCTTTAAATCATATCACAAAAACAATGTCAAGCATAAGACTGGCCAATACAAAGGCCACCATGTCAAATCACAAACAGGGGTCAATAAGGTGGATGGTCACTGCAAGAGGAACGCAGAGAGAGAGAGTGCATTTTTGATTTTATTCTTCTTTTTTTTTTGCGGTTTTTCAATAACACCAAAACAAGTTTCAGTTGATGTCTCTGATCTTTATGTATCAGAGCTCCAACCTCTCTTTTGATCTCTGCCTTTAACCACCAAATTTTGCACTGCTGCCTTATTCTTTGAACTGACAACCTCTATACTGAACCTCTGTTGGATAAAAAAACCTCTCTCCCGTCTCACCTAATTGTGCATTTGAGTATTGCAGCCCTGTCACCTACTACATTGGTGTCATGCAACGCTGGACTGTGGCTGATGCAGGCAGAAAACACTTAACAAGTCTCTAGTCAGATATAATGAACAAGCAGAACACATCCTGTCATGGATAATTTAATTATATTCCTCTTAATAACACAGCACTAAGTCAAATAAAATTACCGTATTAATTGGATTTACACAGTAAAATATGTGTTGGCACTAATCCAAGACCACTACAGCTACATACAGATCTCCTGAGGTAAACTTACAGATGACTTTTTCCTGCGTCATAAGAACAGAAAAAGCAAACAGCAGGGTAAATAGAAAATCCAAACAAATCTGAAATATTTTTTGCTGATATCCAATATGCCGATATTGTCCCAACACTTATTTTTCGATTTCGGTACAAACTGATACCAATACAGCAGGGAAGTGGTGGCCTGGTGGTTTAGAAAGTGCCGCCTGATCACTAAGGTGATGGGTTAAAGCCATGCTCCCCCTAGGGGACAGACGTTCACCCCCTCCAAATTGAAATACTATTGAGTGCCTGGTAGTATTTATTTATTTATTTATTTATCCATACAAACCACTGTACGAGTTGCTGGTACCGGCATTCTGCATACTTCATTGATGTTCGCTGTGACTAACTCCATGTAAGAGCATTAGTTTTACAGCCAACATGTTCCGTTGTTCTACACATTCTGCTATATGTAATATTTAATTGTATGCAAGTTTAGACTCTTCTGATGTTTTTATGTTCTAGATTACGATGTTACCACTTCATTATCCTGGTATGACGTAGGTACTCTCGTGCAGTATGTGTGTTCCAACTTGTGGCAAAAATCGAGTTACGTTGCATGGAACTGACATAAGTCGAGGACCCTCTATAATGGTATCCAGATAAAAAAGAATTGATAGAAAATGTAGAGTAAATAAACGAGTACCTTCCTGCGTATATTGCATCTTAATATTCTTTATCCTTTACTGGTCATTGATCTAAAAATAATGTAGAGCCATGATCTTTTTTTTTGTATGTGTAAACCCTGTCAGTCATACTAATGACATCTCAGTGCACTTCGCTGCACTTTGGCTAATTGAATCAGAAGGAGGTGTAAGCAGGGTTGAAGTGAAGGCCCGAGGGCAGCAGTGATGAAAGAAGAAAGAGCGACAGCACGAGGCTATCAGGTAAGAAGAACTGAGGGGAGACATTTTAAGTTTGTGCTACATGTAAAGAAAATTGTATCTATGGGCAGCAAAGATTTTAAGGAAAATTAATCCTGCATTTAAGAGTATTATTACAGTATAAGCAGCAGACAAGTGGTTGAATTAGTCAAGCTTACGCTGGTTTTGTTATTATTTTGAGTACTGTATTTTTCAAACTTTACGTCACTCCAGAGTATAAGCCAAAGCCAAAGAATAAAAAAAAGTGCAACTTAGCAGATGCTGGTACACAAACCTAGAGTGCCCTCTAGCAGCTGTCAGTGTGAAAATAACAAACATGTGAAATTATATATTTTAATATATAGGTCATACCTGAGTATATCCCACAAACCCAGCCAAAGGTTGAAAAAAAAAGAAATGTCCAGAATACACAGTATTAGTAGTCGTGGTCAAGGTAATAGTAGTAGTAGTGGTATTATTAAGAGATGCACGGCAGTAAGAATGCTTTTATAGAAGGAAAAAAAACCATAACTGTTCAATCTTTTATGTCCTACCTGAAGAAGTGGAAGTCCCAAAGCTGGAGGAGAACATTGAGTAGGAAGGTTGTGTTTAAGCAGCAACAGGTGCAGAATGATTCTGTAATAAAAAAATTAAAAATTAAAAAAAAGATCAACATTAGAGTCTATGTAGGCATATAATGCACAGAGCAGCTTGTGACTTCTTTGACAGTCCAGCTAAAAACCGTCCATGCCGTCCCTTGCATACGTATGTGTGCCCTCTGTGTTTGTGTGTAAGGAGTCTGTAGCGGCCGTTCTTTGTTTTTCGTGGTAAGAGGATCCTGTGTCTTGAAACAGTACCTGGCTATTCAAAGGGAGATGAGCTGGCTCGACTGAGAGCAGACTAGAGCAGAGCAGAGGAGTCAGGGGAGGCGGGGAAGATAAATACCTAGTCTTTAAGAAGAGGACTGATGAAAACCTGTCTGCAACTGGCCAGGCATTAGGCATCAATGAGTTTGTCTATATGTGTTTCACTCCACGGTAGGTTCAAAAGGCTTTCTATCAAACACAGTTTGAGTCAGATGAGTGGTCTGGTGGAAAGGAAGGCAAGTAAAGGAAATGGGGCAGGTAGGGTGAAACGGATCACTGAATACCTGTGTGTATAAACTCTCCCTGCAGAGGTAATTCAAAACTGCATTAATAATTGAAGATGTTGCTTTGTAAGGGCCTGATGTGAATCTAGTCATTATTTGTCTCAACTGAAAACTAAATTTAAAAAAAATGCATAGTCTGTAAAATTTTTGTTTGACAAGGACATGTATCTGATGAGGGTCACACACAAGAAAGGAGACAGGCAGCTGATCACTTTTAAAGATGCCCTTAAGGGCATATTAGGCAATGACAAACAAAAAACACAATGCATTAACATGGTAGTATTATAGTAGTAGTAATGTAGTATTAAATTATAATTATACTTCACCGTCAATCAAAGAGCATTATAAACTTTAACAACCAGTGTTTTAGACCTTTGTGCCTTAATCCTTCGTGCCACATACAGGAAGTAGTAACTTCATTTGAGTGTAGCGAAGTGAGGAGAGCATATAGTCTCCTGTTTTTTTACAATAAAAAGAAAAGTGTGTGAAAAACAGTTACACTTACCCAACACATGTGGTTTTGGTCCCCACGGCTGAATCTTTGGGCTCCTGGAGATGCTGTTTGCACGAGGACAGACGGACCTCTGCGGGCGTGCGGCAGGGTTCTGGACCACAGACTCGTAAGTGTGTTTATACAGCAATCCCTCCCTCGTGGCAGTTGAGTCCCAGGACCGACCACGAAATGGACCTTTGATAAAGAATCCACACATCAATGGTTCTTTAAAGTGTGTGTGTATGGGGGGCGGGGGGTCATAAATAAAATGAATCTCCTACCATTTCACTCTGTCTGTCAATCTGTCACTTCACAGCAGCAAATCTTGAAGTGGCAAAAAAAAAAAAATCATGAATGCTTTTGCAAGAATCTATTGTTTTTGTATTTCTGCACACAACGAAATGTGATCGCTGCATTTCGGCACATTCTTTAACCACCAAGCCACTCACTCCCACTAGAAAAAAAAAAAAGAAAACTATATGAACTACAAAACAACAATAAGAAATAAAATCACACAATACCAGGAGCCTTCTATATTTTTATATTGCTTCCTTATGTGCACAGCAGTATAATTGGCTGGTCGTGCAAAGTGTGCAACAATAACAATTGATGACAACGCAAATTTCTAAGAGAAGGTTTTTGGTTGGTTTTTTTTTTTTTTTTTAAAGGTCATATTTGTCTTGACAGCAGTACTGCAAACTCCAGTTTGGGTACAAATACTGCATTTCTAAGACTGTAGGGAGGAACTATGGAGAAAGAGGTCTGAGTCATGTTTATGAAAAATCACTTCATCATAATCAATGCAGGTTCATGCTGTTACACACAGCTGGAGTCGTTTGCATGGTTGAATGAGTGTTAGCGGTGCATTATATAACCCACTATTGTTGTGTGTTTGACGTTCAAATCAAATTTAAATGGAAAAAACAATATCAATTCTGATATAAAAACACCTTTTCAGTGTCTTGTGTAAAGATGTTATCCTTGATGTCGACTAAGTACTTGGGTAACTACGAGTGTTGTTGTATGAGCACAGCTTTTTGACAACACTGTACTGTATATTACTCTGACAGCTAATCAAACTTTTATGAGATCTTCAGCTTGTGTTACTCCAGAGGCCTTTTCTGTTTCATTGCATAATACTTCTCCCTGTACTCGCCTGTGTTGTGCTACTGATGCCCTGTTTATATATTTATGGTTTTTTTTAATATAACTAATATTCACATAATTAGAGTGCATTCCTAATTATAAGGGTTGTTAAACATGGCACACAGGAAACAGCCTGAAGACAGCCATCTTTGTAGTGTGTTTATTTAATCATGCTCAAAAGCTAATGGCTTTTTTGTGACGCTGAACTTATCATAGCCTATTTACAGAGCATTTGTTTTTTGCCTGCCATTTATTTGGTTTATTTATATTTTTTAGTCAAAAGACATTTGGTACATCTTCTACATAGCATATTATTGATCATTTCAACACCTTTGTCTTCTATCTATCTTATTGTTTTATTTAGACGTCACTGTTGTCATTTTGCTTTGGATACAGATTAAATACTTTGGTCAAGGTTAAGAGCTAAACGCAAAATGACGTGTTTGGTCAACATAATATAGCACTGAGGTTGCAGTCATCTGTGCTGATTACCACCACTAAAAACAACGTGTGACAAATCTGTATTTGTCATACTGTGACACATCAACAACATCAACTTGTTGGTTTTTTTACTCCACTCTTTACAACCTGTAGTTAGCTTGAACACGTCTTCTTTGACACAAAGCAGTTCTTACTCAGAGATATAGTACTTGTGACCAATCACTCCCAATTACATTCTCTTCTTCGCTGTCATTTAAAGACGGTTTAGAATGATTTAAGTGACATTTGTGACTAATGCACTTACCAGGGCAAGACTAGAAACATCCTGCCTACTTGCAATGTGCGTAGGCGTTAGTGCAGGACTTTTATTTGGTTGCTTATTTAAGTGACCGTTACAGCAGAGTAATGTGTGTATGTACAGTATGTAACTGTGATACAACTTTTGTTATTTTTTTACCGAACATAATGACAATAAAGACTTTTTTTTTCTATAACCAAAAGGGTTAATTCTCTAACGTTAATCTTACACAGGCTTAAGTGAACAGCAAATGTATCTGACCTGTGATCCAATGACACCACCTAGTGGAACACCATATTACTTGTAATGCATCTTCAAAACATTCAAACAGACATTGTCAACACTGACTATTGCCATGCATCACCGTTTCTATAAGAAGCTGCACAAAGATAGGTCGATGATGGTGGTACTCAGAGAGCTCAATGGTTTATCAGGTGGTACAGAGTATAAAAAGTTTGAGAACCACTGACCACGGACATTAAATCATCAGAACACACAGAGCTCCTTCCTAAATAAACAACAGAAATGAAAAAAAGCAAATGTAGCACAATCCAATGTATAGCATACAACCAGCAAATATAAACAAAGTCGACTTCTGCATATAGCACCACATTTGTCAGCTCTGTTCACCAAGTAGTTCCAGAGAAAACTACGGACGTCGGAATGATGGAACAAGACCTTCTTTATCAATTTATGGGAGATGGTGAGGTAACACTAAACACCGCAGGTCGAAGCCATCATAAACCAAGGACCACTATACCTGAATAAGTGTTTCTATTTGACTTACTATTTCTACTGCTTTTACCCTGCAAAAGTAATCAATCTGCTACTGTTTTTGTATTATATTAGGGTTTGTTACAGTTATTTTGAGTGTGAGACAGCCATATGGACATAAAGTGGCACAGCACCCTTCTCGCTTTAAACCGACAGACTAAATGTATGTAACTCTGCTAAACAAACAATGTAAGGTAAGATTTTATCAGCACCTCAATGTCACTGTGTGCCTAAGGCAACATGGAGACTATCATTTGTCCACAGCAGGAGTCCTCACACTGTTGGATGGCTCGTTTAGCAAACGCCCTGATGACTCATTAGTGTTAAAACCTACAAGGCCATAATCATAAGTTAGGCTGTCTTTGTCCCAGTAATGACTGTCACGAGGTATAGAACAAATCTTTTTCGGCAACACCCTCTTTGTTTGTTGAGTTGATAGAGTGAAAGGCTTCAGAAGGTGATTGGGTAGCTGGTTCAATGCAGCTTGTAAGATTTATTTATTTATGCTAATCTGGTGCACAAAGAACTGTGCACTTCAAGCAATCACAGTGGTCTTTTCTTTGTTGTTTAAAAAACACATTAATGACTTATTTCTTTGTAAATAAGTATATCTTGTGATGTTTTATTCTTATTATTCCACTACTGGTACTGAAGCAAGTAATGAGTATCGATTATCGGGGATAGAAACATCTAATCCGAGTACGCATAGTTGGTACAAGGGCGAAACGGTTAAACCTTTGTTTTTTATATGTATCTACAGTATGTATAAACATTTAGATCTTTAAACCCAGGTTTCACTGTAATTTGACATAAATCAGCTTTGCATTTAAATACAAAAAAAATGAAATATCTAGTACCCTACTGAGCTACAATCTACTGCAGACTATGACAATTAACATTAATTACCTAATCTTCTGATTCTGAACATACAGTGGAACCTTTTAAACGTGTGTTGGCACAACACATCTGATATTTGAAGGCACACACCATGAGTGTCAGCTAAAAAACATTTTTATACCTCTACTTTTACAAAGCAAGAGTATGAAGTTAATCGTGCTGAACGGTTAATCACCCGTTATTAAACTTGTTGTCCCACACCTCTATCCTCGAGCTGTATAACCAACGCAGCAGTGAGGTTCAAGTGAAAATGGCTACAGTCAAGTTTAATTCAACGACAACAGACTTGTGGTCAAGCAGGACGATGGAACCTTACCATTGTAAGTTTGGCCTCCACTTTATCGAAGAAGATGTTATGGTTCAGAAGACAAATGTCCTAAAGAGGACCCAGGAGGAGACAGTGGAGCTGAAGCAGGGGCGCAGACAAGCTTCCCACTGCTGACGAGCGACAGTGAAGACAGAGGGTGACAGTAACGGAGCTGCTGGCCCAGAAGCAAACCCGTTCACTCCCGAAAAAAACAGAATCAGGGACACAACGGTGGGCGGTCTGGCGTTGTCTCATCGACGAGCAGGTGGTTATAAGCAGGTGTCTTGATGAGCTGGGATCCCGGCAAGTGGTTCTGATCATCAACGTTGACAGTGCGGGTGAGGTCACAGGCAACACACAGATACTCACATCCACCAACAGTGAAGAAAATACATTTACTTATCTACCGTTTACTTTTACTTTGTTTAATTATTGTTATCTACCGTTTACTTTTACTTTGTTTGATTATTGTTTTTTTTTTTTACTATCAATATTTTGTTAACTTTCCTTATATGATTAAATTCAGCCCTACCTAGTCCCAACAGCACTTTGGCTGCTAGTAACTAGTTGTCCTTCTAGAAATGTAAAAAAAATCCCTGCACTTTCTACTTACTGAAAGTCAATGTTTTTAAGATTTCAAAATTGACAAAAGTCATAACCACGTCTGGCAGAAGATGTCTTGTGTCTAATTTGTAAATTGCGATATTTATTTATTCTATTGTAATTGCAATCACAATATTGTCCAAAATAATGCATTCAATTGTGCGTCACTAGTATTAACAGCAGTGGCTGACATGTGTTTCTCACTTTCAGTGGCGTCCTGCCTGAACAAATAATAATAATGTCATTACTAAAGCAACAAACTGTGACATAACGTACAAAAGCATCAATAATAACATAATGCATAAAAACTAAATGCTTTTTACTCAGAAATATATATGTATACATATATACATATAGTGTATATATATACACAGACTATTCTGTATTATCTATGACGTTACACCACGGATTAACAGGAACCAGAGAGACCATATCACTGCACCGTGACTTCTCTTTACTGGCTCCACACACACCCTTTTAAGCACGACGCTGTCACTACGTCACCTAGTGACCAGTGATGTCAGACCTTCGCGACGGCAATGAGCGGTCACGTGATATGCGGATGAAGTTCCTCTATGGGAGCAGCGCCTGTAGTCCACTTACTTGAAATGTACTCGTCTTCCTTGGTTTAAATGTAACAGGCAGCAGCAGAATGAAGCACGTCTGCCTCGGTTTGTTGTTTTTCACCGCCTGTCTCCACTCTTTGTGCGCGGCGTTACCGAACTTCGTCCTGCTGTTTGCTGATGATTTAGGCTTCGGCGATTTGGGATGTTTTGGTCACCCGGTTTCCCTGACCCCGAATCTGGACCGTTTGGCTGCGGGAGGTCTACGTTTCACCGACTTCTACAGCACTAGTCCGGTCTGCAGCCCATCCAGGTAAGGCAGTATTAACGGTTATTCAAAGCTTTAAAAAAAAAAAAAAAAAAAAAAAGCTATGTGGCGTTTAGCTCCGATTGTATCCACCCGAGATGAACTTTATTAATATTATATATATAATATATGTGATAATAAACGGTTGCATATGTAGTATATGACCCTTGTAAGCTGAAAATTGTTAAATTTAATATTTACCAACAAAAAGACTCAGGAAATTTGAACAAACTTATTTGAGGAAGAAATAATTTAATTCTACAGTCTATGCTTGAATGCAACGCATAAAGAAAACATTCTTGATGCCACACCACACTCTGGTGTCAGCTGTGTCCAAAATGTTGCCATTTTAAACGTTTGAGCAGTCGTGTCAGTGCGTATTCAGTTTTCATTCTTGAAATACAGACTAGAACTTATCGATTCTCTCCTTGACTGACTTTTCAAGGGCTTCCTTGTTAACTGGGCGTTATCAGACTCGCTCTGGCATCTATCCAGGAGTGCTGTACCCAGGCTCCATTGGTGGTCTCCCTCTTAATGAGACCACCATCGCTGAAGTCCTGAAGCCTATGGGCTACGCCACTGCTGCAATTGGAAAGTGGCACCTGGGATTTGGGGCCAAGGGGAAATTTCTTCCAACCAAGCAAGGCTTTGACCACTACCTTGGGATACCCTACTCTCATGACATGGTTGGTGGGATTGAGTTGTAAAATGTAATTGGTAATAAAAATGTGCCCATTGTATATTCCATCATTGATTTCGTTATTGAGGATCTCCAATTTTTACCACTGTTTTCCTAGGGTCCCTGTTGGAACCTGACATGTTTCCCTCCAGACGTAAAGTGTTTCGGATTGTGCGATGCCGGCACTGTTCTCGTCCCGTTGATGCACAATGAGATCATCAAGCAGCAACCGGCTAACTTCCTGGAGTTGGAGAAGGCATACAGTGACTTTGCGACTGATTTTATTTCGACGTCAGCCCAGAAAAAACAGCCTTTCTTCCTCTACTATCCCTCCCATGTAAGCCATAAGAACAACATTTACACAAAGCATAGCATCACCAAAGAGAGCGCAACAATTTATCGGTGTGGTTTTGGAGTTAATTTCAACTGATTTTAAAAATGTTAAAAACTCAGTGAGTTTTTATGCCTTAACACATTTTAGTTATAGATGGATGAACGCTGCTGTGAAATACTAATTTTTGACATTATTCTGCTTTCTCCTCAAGCACACTCATTACCCCCAGTACGCAGGTGTGGATGCAGCTGGAAAGTCTTTGAGGGGTCCGTATGGAGACGCTCTGTTGGAGTTTGACAACACCATTGGAAACTTGATGAAAACTCTTGAGAAAACAGGAGTGATCAACAACACATTGGTTTTCTTTACTTCAGACAATGGGTTAGTTTTCTCCCTGTTTTTGCTATCATATACGTATATCCATATATATAATTGTGCACACTAAAATCTCCCATTACCTGCATACGGTCGATTCGGTACAATAGCATGTTTATTGACTACTCAAAGGTCAAGTTGCATGATTTATTTTTGTCCTCTTAGAGATTAGATTAATGGTGTTCTGGTGAAAGTGCAGTTATTTATTAGCTTCATTAGCTTTATCAGCTACTGCGTTGTTTTTGTCCCCACAGACCTGAACTTATGCGTATGTCCCGTGGTGGTAGTGCTGGCCTTCTAAAATGTGGGAAAGGCACCACATATGAAGGAGGCATGAGAGAGCCAGCCATTGCCTACTGGCCCGGAACCATCAGGCCAGGTCAGCAAACACAAGTTTTACCCACTGGTTCTCCAACCATCCCAGTTGGAGGTCCTCTGGGAACCATTGGTTAATCTGACATACCCCTCTGGAGTGACCATACATAACATTAGCTCTGATATATATTTACATTGCATTCAAAAGAAGCTAAATCATCAATTTTTAAAAAAATACTTTGGTACATTGCTGTTGTATGTACAGAGCCCAATATCAAAGCCTGTCATTGCATGTTTCTGTACATTATTTATTTAGGTGTGACTCACGAGATGGCCAGTACACTTGATATCCTCCCCACCTTTGCAAATCTGGCAGGAGCCAAGTTGCCCCAGGTGACCCTTGATGGGGTAGATATGACCAGCCTCCTTGTAAACAGGGGAAAGGTACATGCATCATACATATGTCATTCACACCAAATGTAAAGAGTGGTAAAAGAAAATGTGTTTGACTTTATCCTTTTTTTTTCAGAGTGAAAGGAACACAATGATGTTCTACCCAACAGATCCTAATGAAATGTACGGACTATTCGCTCTCAGAATGGGGAAGTACAAGGCTCACTTCTATACAAGAGGTAAACCCAAGTTTATATTGAAAGTGTGTTTCAGTCAAGATAAAGGATTTAAAGATTAGGATAAAAAACGGTTTGATTTGATTTGTAGCTATAAAGGATTTAAAGATTAGGATAAAAATTTGTTCATTTGTAAGTAGCTCTGGAGTATGTCACACTAGTGCCCTCTAGTGGCTGTCAGTGTGAAAATAACAAACGTAAATTTTCAGTGGTAGAGGAGTAGCAGGTACTGCTACACAAGCCTAGAGTGCCCTCTAGTGGCTGTCAGTGTGAAAATAACCATCATGTGAAATTATACTGTATATGTTAATATAGAGGTCACACCTGAGTATAAGTCACAAACCCAGCCAAAGGATGGGGAAAAAATTGCGTCTTATATTCTGGGAAAATATGCTTATAATAGCCAGCCAAAGGATGGGGAAAAAATTGCGACTTATATTCCGGGAAAATATGCTAATATTATACTGCTATTCCGCTTATAATACAGACTGAACTAAGTTTGTTTTGACATATGTCTCTGCCACAGGTGCCACCCATAGTGGTACTACACCAGACAAAGACTGCCCAGTGTTTGCAGTTTTAAAGGCCCATGACCCTCCCCTGCTCTTTGACTTGGAAACTGACCCCTCTGAAAACTACCCCTTACCTCTTATTGGAAGACCAGACCTTAAAGCTGTGTTGGAGAAGATTCAAAAAGTCAAGGCGCAGCTGGAAGCTACTATGGTGTTTGGCGAGAGCCAGGTAGACAAAGGCACAGATCCCAGTCTGGCACCGTGCTGTAATCCTGAGTGTCAACAAAAGCCCAAATGCTGCCAGTGTTAATTTGAACTTGGGGACGAGGGCTGGGTCCGTTCCACTTCATCACATTTTCTAATGATTTTACTGATTGTGTATGTCCTGTACCAAAACAGTTCATGCACGTGTTTTTGAAGAATAATGTTCATCTGTTGTTTGTAATTTTTAAAATAATTTCCCACAATGCTTCTTTCAACTGCTTTAATAATAAAGCGTAGGTGTCGCTGCTGATGCTGGCGGTGGGTGAAGTGTATCCTTTGGAAGAAAAGAGCATCAACACTGTATGTAATTAGAACTTCTAATAAAACTGATTTTCCCATGGAACAAACACATCTGAGTAATATATGGTAAATTGATGAACAGCAATGGTCCAACCTTTTTTGTACCAAGGACCAGTCGCACAGTATCAGCTGTTACTATTGTTTAGTTTGTTTTGTAACATTGCCAGATATGGGGATATGACTGAATTCTTTTGGAATGATGTAAATTAGTAAAACTTAAGTACATTTTTCCACTGCGGCCCGGCACCAAATGACCGATGGACCGGCACCAGTCCCTGGACCATGGGACCATAATAAAAAGTACATCGTAGACAATGAAAGAGACGACTTACCCCATGGAATCCTGTTCCTACAGCGTGATATAACTTGAATTCTGCCATAAGTTGGAACTCACATACTAACACAGTGGTAACATCATAATCAAGGACATAAAAACATCAGGTCAGTCTGACTTATGCCTGTGAGCCATAATGAAGAGCAAAAGGATCCCAAAAAGACAACACAAACAAAATGAAGCAAATGTAGCACAATCCAATCTATGGATCTACCAATCCAATCTACGGTGAATGTAAAGAGCTGTCGTCCACGTATGGCGCCACGTTACGACTCACTACTTATTCACTCTCTCTGCTCACCAACTGTGAAATTAGTTTTAACGTCGTATATCAGAATGACAGAACGATACCTTCTTAATTAACAAAGACAATAAAGACACGTAGAAAGACCTGTGGACATCAAGCATATATTTTATTCATAAGACCAGATCCATGACAAAGCAGAGTTTTTTTGTCTTTTTTAATTTTTTTTCCCCCCTCAGTTTTTACAAGTCCATGTCTTTAAAGATACAAGATAGGATATGTTTGTTCTGTGGCATACTGGTTTGCTCTATGTATACGGTGAGACGTCAAATCGCAAAAATTAAACTTTTTCGTCTATCTGTGGATGTAAATCTCAGGCAGCTATATTGGACTAGATCTGTCTTCAGAGGCCGGACTAAACAGTAAGATGCGAAATCAAAAAACAGAAGCCAGTGGACATCGATCATGGGCTGTCCGCCCTGGTGATGCTCTGAAGCAAACGCCAGTATCAGAAGGACGCAGTTGTAGATTTCCATTACTCGGTCACCAATCAACGTTTACCGGTCTCGCACTTGTGTCATGTCACATGACAAATAAGCCCTAAAATGTGCTGTTGAAGTTGATCTGTAGAGACGTGTCAAGCTGGTATGTTTGAATAGAAAACCAACGAACGGAAAACGGATCACGGCAGATTTTACATCTCTACTTGTTCATTAATGGTTTCCCAGGGGAGTTTTGCTGGTTGTGATTATTTTCTTTCATTTTTTTTTAAATTTGTTTTCTACATATCAATATTGGTAACATACTCAACGTAAAGAACACATCACTACCTTAGGATTTGCTATATATCTACAAGATCTAAGTGACAGCAATACATATGAATGTTCAACACTAACATTTTTCCTGCTGCCACTTCAACAGAGAGCAAACTTTAAAATGCTGACGCCCTGCAGATCTGAGGTGTGTGTTTTTACGTCATGGAGGACTGTGACGATGCGACGATGCGGAAAAAAAAAGAAAAAAAACAAGGTCGGATGTCAGGGAGTGAAATAACCTGCAGCCTGAAATCACAGAAGCACATCGTCTGCAAAATTGTTGATTCTATCCCAATGTAAGGAGACTGAAAAAAAAAACCAAACCCTGCAGCCAGTTGTTATGTAAGGTGCCATTAATAATACAACCCTTGGCCTGACTTAATGTGGTTGTTATCTCTGTCCTTTACTGTTAGTAACAAGATCAAAGTCTGGCTGTTTTTATTATACTATAATAACACTTATGTTTAATGCTATGTTTGAAGCTGGGAATTTCACAAAGATGATGCCAAGTCCAAACCTTAGGCCACTCTGTCCGCATGGTAAGCACAAAGGCTGTACAGCATCACTGACACAACACTACACATCGATCTAGTTGTTCTGTTTTCCCTAATACGAACTGCAAAGTAAAAGAAAGAACACTTGACATCACAGAGAGTCACAGATGTGTGGATATGGCTTTTCGTGTTGCCTTCAGTTTTTTTTTAACCAGAAAGTCACATTAATCATCGCAAAACATACGGTGACCCCGCAGTTTACCTGTGAAAATGTTTCCGCGACTACTCCTTCCCACGGTCATGGCCCAAAAGCAGTGCTTTACTGAGGACGGGACGAACGAAGACACACATCGTCAACAGAAATCAAATCTAAATAAAACATACGCTTAATAACGATCAAAGATTTTTAAGTCACCACAATCTGTCTGACACACCTGCAATTTTTCCAGCCAGAGTCACCCCCACCCAACTCCCCTGTCAGCGTCAACTGTGAGTTGCTTCTTAATTAGACTCCCTCATGTCTACTTTCTATACACGTATTTACAACACACACTACTTCTGGTATGCAACACGGGGTAAACTCAGACTGAGGACAGTTCACCGTACTCTCTACTTTGCTCCAGTTCACTATCAGTAGAAATCTAATCGGCATTAAATAAATACATATTTACAGTTCAAACAGATGCTGACCTCCTGGTTTCACACCACGTCATCACTGACCATTAAAGCTGCTTGTCATTCGCTTGGATATGTGTAAGTCTTTGTGTGTCTGTGAGCATTTAACCTATCAGCCATGCATTGAAAAGTGAAATAGGTACATACTACTGTTTCAAAAGAGCAACCTTTAAATAGAGAGGTACTCAGCATCCTAAGTTTTATATCATAGAAAAAGGTAAAAGAAACAGGCAATCTTTCCATCGATGTGATGAAAATAAACGGAGAGAGATAGAGAGAGAAAGAAGTTGAATCCTAGCATACGGTAGAAATGAAGTTCTGTGAGTTGTGGAGGGACACTGGCAAGTTTAAAATGGAGAGAGAGAGGAGCTCTCTCACAGTGCCCTCTGGTGGCCAACTTGATGAACAAGCTGCGGAACAAGGGGACGGTGACATCAATTCTTACTCAAGGTAAATGTCCTCAGTGGGGCAGGCATACTCCAGATGTTCCTGATAGTATTCCTGGAAGGCTCGACTGCAGAAAAGGCAGACAGAGCACAAATGAGGAACGGCTTTAAACATTTTGAACAAACTGAACAAACATTTTTACAACATTTTTTTTGAACAAACTGAACAAACATTTTTACAAGCAAAAGCCGTATTGGTAACAATAGAGCTATAAAAGACAGGCAAAATAACACGTTATGTCTCACAGAATTTAAGAATTTTGATAATCTGCATCATTAATCACAATTTTAAGACTGGGGACAGACTGTCAACTGAGATAATGCTCACTGAATGTTACAGATCTCATTAATGAGGAATAAACTCACCCGACACATTCTGCTACAGGTCGCATGGACTCCTGGGACACAAACACATGGCAAGCAAATCTGTTCAGCATGGGATGTTTAGTGATGAATCCGAAGTAGCTGGGAGAAGAAGTAAACAAAATGCTGCAGTCAGTCATTTGTTAATCTGTCAACTGAATCCTTCAGGTTCAAAAGTTTGGTCCGTTTACCAGTTGTTCTTTGTGTGGCAACCGCAGAAGGAGATGTTCTTCATTTGAAAGAAGTGGCTACATCTGTCATACTAAACACACAGTGAGACGGGCAGTGTGTTAACAGGGGAGTCTTAGATCAGGCTTTCATAAACCAAAGGTAGGTGTAGTTTATCTGACTAGAAGATACACATTCTCTGTCTCAACCAAATTGTTACATCATACCCCTAACTGACACCCAAGAACCCAGCATCCAGTATTTTTTATGTATTTTATATATATACATTTTTATATTATTGTTTATTCAGCAATATAGGTATTGAATTGAAAGTCAGCAGTCTAAGAGGACTTTGGAAAGTTGTTTTCTTTTAGAACAAACTTTTCAAGAGAATTAAAGTTTTCTTAAATGTCAACTAAAAAATGACATTAAAGGCTGTTTTGGTTTCATAACTTTGTCTGATTTAATTTGTGCTCATTCAAAGATAGTATGAAGAGCCTAAGGACTCCTGAAATACTTCAGTGATGTTTCTGTGGCACAATAAATAACAAAAAGAAAAAAACTGTTGTTATTTTAAATATTATTTCACAAAGTACATCCCTTACCCCACCCCCCACCCCCCCCCAAGGTAATCTTTACCTCATCAAGTGTGTTATAATCATCCTCCAGGCTCATGATGAGTTTCACTCCTTGTAAGCTGACCTCCAGTTCACACAGAGATGGAGGTCTCACATGTACCGTTCGTTTCCTCGATATTGCGATCTAAGTAAGTAGTAATTGAAAAATATGAATCAATGCAAACAACATAATGTGTCTTTTCGTGTGTTATGTACTTGTATTACCTTCTGCATGGCTGCACAGAGAATACCGTTGCCTTGGTGATAAGGAACTTCAACAGACCCCAAAAACTGGACACTAAAGGTCTCGATCCACGCTGGATTTCTCTTTATTCCTTGAAAGTCAGACGTGGACAATATTCTAAGCATGGAATGTTTATGACAAATTCTGTGAATGCATCACTGCACTTACCCAGCAACTCTTTAGACTGGCTTATAACCTCGTGGGCGTAAAATGCAGGAAAGATACCCTTTTCCCCTGTTCGCATGTTGTAGCCTCTGTACCAGTAATCATCCTCTTCCTCTTCCACATATAATGGATCATCCACATCCAACTCCAGCTCATCTGCATGTCTAGGAATGAACCTGCAGAGGGCACAAAAGATACAAACTCAGGCAGGTTACAATTTGAGCAAAAAATACTACTGCCAGTACTACAATAAAGTGACACTAAAACAAACTCCACACTGTAACATTTTTATGGTAAAAGTAATGGTCCAGTAATGTCTCATACCTGTATACTGCCCTGTGTGTTTGGTCCCTCTCCTCTCCATTGATGGTACAGGAAAAGAGCCCAAAAGATTCTGTACCTAAAATGGAAACACACCCATTAAACGGCCTTAAACGAATGGAACAGTCGTGAAGTAATGTATGTAAAATCTAAAAGATGTTCAGCAGTGGTTTCCAACTTGTGACCCCATTTTGACATCATACATTTCTTCTTTTTCTCTGGTTCTGTGATTGCAGTTGTCACTCAAGATGCTACAGCTCAGATATATTTTTGTATGGTGCATTTTAATTGGACTCAATTTCTATTCATGAAAGTGAAAGAATGCAATTGTTTGTGTGTGGGATTTTTAATTAAAAAAGTAAAAAAAAAAATTACTTAAAACAAGTTCTTCCAATACAGACACATCAATATGTATATAAAACTGTCTAATCGGATCTCCTGCCCATCAATACAGTATGTGCATCTATACATCTCATAGAGTTCAATGTTAACAATGTCAAAATGTCATATTAATCTCTTAATTGACCTTTTAACCATGATGTAATAGAGTACAGTTTAGTTAACTGTACATGGACTATTTTGATGAATCAAGGACCTGATGTCTTGAAAATAATATTTTGATGAGAAGCTATTTGTGAATATTAGCTCAGAACAACGGAACTTCCACTAGATTGTAACTTACTGGAGGAACGGGATGTGCTGTTGACAAACACATTAAGAAACTTCTTGGAGAAAGGAAGATCAGCCTCAGGAGAAGAGTCTTCAGATGAACTGAGAAGTTCTGGTCTTACTTCGTCATCATCTTGACTGTATCCCACCTCAGTTGTCTCTTTGTCACAAAGTGTCGAGATCTCACTATCATCACTCAGAACAGAGGTGCATCTGAGAGGGCATTTTAAAATGAGAAGGCAGTGTAAATATATTTCCTGAAAAACTTGAACTATATATAAAATCATAGATGACTGACTTGCTTGTTCAATAAAAGCAATAATAATAAATACTTAAATTCCATTTAAAACACAATTTAACTAGTTTGCCACAGCACAGCACAGCATACCTTCTGAGGCTGACAAGCTCCAGCTTGGTATTTTCATCAACAACCAGTGTGTACTTCATGGAGTCGTAGGCCAGTTCATCATCTTCATTTGGTTGCCTTAGAGCAAGATCTCTTTCACACAGTGTAAGGTCATGTTCAGATAAATGGTGGTTTGACATGGTGGAATTAATAGGTGGCAAGCTGTCACACTCTAAGTCACTGTCTCTGTAGGACTGCTTTCCCAGGCCATCCAGGAATGGATAAGAGTCGGCATCATCCTCCTCCTCATCATTGTCAGTAGAGTAAGAAAGGCTGAAGCAATGGTTGGTCTGAGTTGTGGGAATGTCCAACGTCAGACTCTGTTTCACCTCCGTAATACGCTCAAGAGAGGCTGTAGAGTGGCTGGTTGACTTGTTAGGCTCTGTCTCTCGACCCTCGTCCTTGTCGCTAACTACGCTCTCACTGAGACTGGGTGAGTCCAGAACCTTCTTCTCTTCCAGCATCATTAAGTCATTGTTGGGCTCTTCCTCCTCCTCCTGCGTCCTTTGATTCTTTGATGATTTGTTAGTAATGTTTTTCTCTGAACCTCTACTGGTATACCACGATTGAAAATCGCCACTTTCTTTCTCGTTGTTCACGCAGCGTTCTAAAACGACAGACTTCAACGTGTCACATGACGAGTTTCTCAAATAATGACAAGGATTATCTCCTTCTTTTGATGCCCCCATACTCCCTCTTTCCCCAGACACCATCCTTTCCATTCGGTATCCATCACACTCCACCTCTTCAAATTCTTCAAAGTTATCTTTTTTCTCATTTCCATCATCAATGAAACCATCTCCATCTCCATCTCCAATATCTGAAGATGGGGAGATAGTGTCTGACACAGAGGACTTCCTTTTTAAACACTCTTCAGGACAGCTGATTGGGTAAGAGCCTTCCGAGATCATTCTGTTGACCAAGTTGCTAAGCAGCCATGGTGAGTCTGAGTTCTCACTCAAGTCATCTTCACTTTCTGATTCTGAGTCCCCCTCACTTAGTCCATCATATTCATCTGCATTTGGAATTAACCTGGGTCCCACTGGTAGGTAGAATGATCGTTTGAAACTCTCTAGGCTATGATCTGGTTCTATCTCAAGGACCATTTGTCTGGATAAACTGTCCTCACAGTGTTGTTCAGGTGGCAGAGTTTCGTCTGGGTCAGCTTGATGCTCACAGGATAACTCGTCATCTACATTCTGCAACCCAAACAGTGCTTGGCCATCATCATAAGTCTCAGGGGGTAAGGTAGGTGAGTCAACAGGGGATGGCGTAGCGATTGTCGGGGATGGTAGTGGGGAAGGAGATGGAATAGGACATCCTTCTTTTATGGGGTCTGGCTGGCCGAGAAGAAGAGATGTTTTTAGCCCAACAATACCACTGTCTTGCTCTAACTCTGTATCCGGGTCCAGCTCCTGGTCTGATGTAGGTGAGCTAGCCTCCTCAATGGAGTTGGTGAGATGAGATGAGCGTCCACTGCTGCTGTCATCACTGGTAAGGTCCAGCTCTGTCTCAGAAATAGAGGAGATCATGTTGGAAGCTACGGGACCACAAGCAAATGCCGCCTCCAGCTCTCCGTCAAGGTCAGAGTCAGAGCCCGGAGAACTGAGGTCCTTGTCATGGTCTGAGGTTATGTAACCCTGCTGATTCATATCTGCAATCCCTGGATCTGACGATGGAGACGTGGAGTCGTTAGCTGCTGCATCCATGGACGAATTTGCCGTAGCACCTGTACTACTGGACTGATCGCGACCTTCTGAGCACATGGAGGTGACATAGCTGGAAAAGGAGGCAGGTTCAGACTGAATTGCGGGGAATTCAACATATGATGAGTGATTCCCATCACACACCATATTATAAGTCTCTTTACACATAAACGCCAGATCATCATCTTTTTCAAGCTCCTCATCTGATAAGGGTGTGTCTGCGCCATTATTGCCTCCCAGGGGCGCAGTGGATGATAAGCAGTTAATGGTGTCTGCATCATTCTCTGCCTCGACACCTGACTCACTGGTAATGGTGTATGTCTCTGTGGCACAATGGTTTGTATGCCTGCGGTTGTGATCATTGTTGAGATGGTGGTCTACTTCTGTGTCTGAAGACTGGGAGTTTTCGTCCACAGAGGGCACCCTGCATGCTCTGATTGTAGGATCAGGTTTTGGTTCAGTGACTTCACCTGGACCTAACTGGGACTTAAGTTGACCAAAAGAGCCTGAGAAGAGGTAGAGAAAAAATAATTAAGAAGAAGAAGAAATATAGATTACGGCATGTAGTGTGCTATCTAGTGTTTTTACTGGCAATTCTAGAAAGGAAACAGGAAAGGAAGATACATAAAACCACTACCTTTCGTGAAACTAATGAATGATGAGAAAATGATTACTAAGCTGTTCTCCTTGTTACCGTATTCAGGATGTTCACGCCTGTTGCCCAATATGTCACAGATGAGTGGCCTGTGAGGAGACTGGAGGTTTACGCCCTCTTCTGTCGGTTTGGGTGGAGTACCTTTGGTCTGACACACTGTAGCCTGGGTAACCGGAGAGGCTGGACACTGGCCTGTTATATGGCCACCATCATCCAGACATGAGTGGGTTGGAGTCAAATGGCCTAAAAATAGAAGTGAAATTCACATTGAAATAGGAATGAAAGATATGGGTATTCACTATTCTTACATCAAATTAAAATTATATGATTTTTGATTATACGTACTGCATAAGTAAACAAATAAACAACAAACTTTCTACGATTGGAAACGTAGCAATAATATAATGAATCCATATGCATTGTACAAAATTAATAATATCTCAAAATGTACCCTGTGTGGTGGTGTTACGTAGAGAGTCTTGCCAACTTCCTTTCTTTGGAGATGGGTTGCTGTTGTTATTCAGAGAATCCTGAGGCAGAAAAAAATATATAAATAAATAAATAATAATGATCTAAATAATAATCATGTAATGTAGCCAAAGAACACCTGGCTTACCTGTGACACAGCAGTGGTGAGGTTCAGTGTGGTTGGTCTGCTCTTCAGAGTACCAAGGGTCGGAGAATAGGGAGGAGAAGCAAATGGTGATGGAGGCGAATTGTGGTCAACCTCTTCATCTTCTTCCTCCTCCTCATCATTATCTTCATCATCAATCATTTCAAACTCTTGGAAATCATCCTGGAAGGAGCAGACTGGGTGGTGCATGTCACTCTTTTCCAGTATAAGAGAATCCTGAGCCAAACATGAAACAAAAAGAGATGTTATTATCATTACATGTTGAAGTGATTTTAGGGAAATCTGATTTCTAACAGTAGAACAGAATTGGCAACAGCATTAAGAAAACACCCCTCACCATCCTCACTCTTTAAACTACTTTGTTACAAAACGACTAGTTGATGATGATAATCAATGGATCTCTATATTGTTCTCCTAATGAATGAGCCTTAGATGATGAAACTGTTAAGTTATATATGTAATAAGTTGTATTGGTGTACTGCGATTCAGTTGGTATTTGTAAAATACAAGAATACAAATTTAAATACTTGTACTAGTAACCATTTTTAAAAATCTGATATTGAGGCATCCCTCATAGATATATATATTTATTACTGGCCAACCAATTTTATCAGATAATATTAGAGTAGTTATGTAATATCGGTAAAAATCGTTATTGCTTTTTCCTCCAATAATGAAAACCCAATAACGCAATGTCTGGGTTTGGCCCAGATGATGTGGCCCAAAAATTTTGAAGTTGAAGTGAATTACTGTCAATGTGACACAGCAAACCACTTCACACAATGAAATGTATCCTCTGCCTTTAACCCAAACGACTGCATATATATCGGTATCGGTTAATATGTGTTGATGAAGTGTTTGGACAATATCAGATATTGGCAAAAGGTTAATATCGGACATCACTATAAATAGTTCACTTGTGCCATCATGGCTTAAATCCTGAAAATTTCCTCCTGTTGTCTCTGTTTCCCATCAGTGAGGCCCGCCCCACACTTTTAGAAACACTGCCTTGAAGTAAGACAGGCAAAAATCTTCAAGCAAAAGGTAAGAGAGACCTGAGTTAAACTGGCAAAAAGACACTTTTAGAAACACTGCCTTGAAGTAACCTTGAAAGAACGTCCAGTTGCCCTCAATGTAACTATTTTTGGATAAGATGACCTGAATGACTGAGAACCTACACAGACAAGACAACGTCAGAGAAAAAGATCTTTAGGGGAAGAGCAGGCAGAGAACTGGCTCCAAGCAGCCCTCTGCATAGCAGAGAGGAGGTGACATATGAGATGGAACGAAAAAACAGAAGGAGGAAAAGAGGTTGTCACTGCATAGCAGCAAACTACATTGGCTCACCTCCTCTCTGCAGCTGTGACTCTACAGAACCAGCATACAATGCTGTGGATGCAGCAGTTGCAAAACAGATCAAAAATACGACATCAACCAAATGTGTATAGACTTTATTCTTAACAACATCCTCAATGGAAGCCCACCTCCATTGAACTTACGTGTAACAAAATCTTCATTGAATGGTTACTGAAGTGAAATGAGTGACTTCATTATGCTTTATTTTTATGACGTCTTATTATTAGTTGTACTACATGTAAAAAACATCTTGTTTGAAGAAGCTTTTTAAAGGGGAGAATAACTGCATGTTTCTGCATGTCAATTCAGCATACAATGCTGTGGATGCAGCAGTTGCAAAACAGATCAAAAATACGACATCAACCAAATGTGTATAGACTTTATTCTTAACAACATCCTCAATGGAAGCCCACCTCCATTAAACTTACGTGTAACAAAATCTTCATTGAATGGTTACTGAAGTGAAATGAGTGACTTCATTATGCTTTATTTTTATGACGTCTTATTATTAGTTGTACTACATGTAAAAAACATCTTGTTTGAAGAAGCTTTTTAAAGGGGAGAATAATTTACTGCATGTCTTTGCCTACTATGAAATAAATAAACACAGGGTTTTGCATGTCAATGTAGGTCTTTCACACAATAAAAAAATAACCCACTTATGAATAAGTGAAAACAAAATAAAAGAAACAGCTGTGGGCTGACAGCTTAAAAATGAATGCATGTATGTAATTATGTCCAGTATGTCTGTAATTATAACTAGGCCCTTTTCAGTGAGCATTCTTTTTCTAATGTTTTTTCCTTGGCCAAGTACTGTACTTAACTATAATTAAAACCATAGTAATACATTATATTAAAAGGGCCATGTTCTTTGTATTAATTAATACCCGACAACAGTATAAGTGGTCTATTTTGACCAGGTGGATACAAAGGATGCATTAAGCGACATTAGCCCAGAAGGATGTTCTGTAAACAGTGATACAAAACAATAACACATTACTTAGCATGAAGTGCTGAAAGTCTGTATTTGAACTTCATTATTGTTAAGAGCGTGGCTGTTTGCAAAAGTGTTTTCTTTTCACTTCAGGAATTCATGCTTATGGTACTACATAAAAAATGTAGCTGCAAGCCAGAAATATGATTGATATGCTATTAATTAGTTACAAGCCTCTAATTAACCTGAATATTTTTAATCAAGTCCCTCAACATAGGCAGGGCTTTTCCTGCATAGAGAAGATGTTTTTACTGTCATCAGCTCTCAGCTGTGTTTATAAAAGAAAATTCCATCAGGATCTGTCATTTGTGAGGCGTCATGTCAAAATTATCATATGAACCAGTGCTCTGAACAGGAGTCTCTCATCTATAAAACTGCAATTATTTTAATCGCAAACCGAGGCTACTCAAGTGGTCTTTTGGGCCCTAAATACATTTCTATATCATTGGTTTTGACATGATTTTAAAGTAAATGTTTAATCTATCCAGATCTTAAAAAAACAGACCCACTGGTCACAATGTGGTTAGCATGACACACTGCTGTACCACCCCACAGCAATTTCCACACAAAACTTGCCCTCAGCTTTACCTTGTTTTCATTATTTTCTTTTTAACTCTTTTACCTGAGCTCAAGGCTCTTTGTTTGTTTAAGATCCTTCCTGAGGCAATAATGTCTCTGTTTACAGCATGTCACATGAAGTTAAGTTGAACATTTTGGCTTAGGTTTCAGAACAGACGGGCTATAGTTGTTTTTGTTTTTTTTCAATGTTCAATTCTGAACTGTTGAACGTCACCAGACCGATACCGACCCTAAGTATTGGACCGAGCCATCCCTGGTAAAAACATCTACAACGGCCCAGGATATACGGGTGTACACTCACTAGGGGTGTAAGAAAATATCGATACACTGAAATATTGCAATATTTCATTTCACATATCAATATTTGACAGCATTGTGCAATATTTCATTTCACATATCAATATTATTTATATTCAATTTTTTATTAACTTAGCTTCATTTTAATTTGCTTTTACTTATCTAGTGATTACAAAAGTTTCAATTTTAGTACACTGATGTTGCGCATGTAATTGTTTTAAAAAGCTCTTATGGTATTGCAGTATATGGCAATACGTCGTACGCCGCCCTTGTATCGTGATATGTATCGTATCACCAGATTCTTGCCAATACACACCCCTATCACTCACAGCTAAATGTCGAGGCACTGCTTTAAAGCACCACTTATCAGTCAAGCAGATTGCTGAGTGTCAGGTTCCTGTTCCACCAAGTTGAGCATGGTGGCACCGTGGTCCAGGAAGTTTTATTCTGTACTGCAAACTGCTCTCTCCACTGATCTCTCCTTTCTGGGTTAGAATAAAGGCACACAGTTTGTCCAACCAATCACTTTCCTAATGCGGATAAATGGGACAAACGTTCTCAATATCCCATATTTCACTTTCTGCTCAGCTCAAATTCATCAGCCCTGCTGTCTCTATCTGTAGCTGCTGGTATTTCGGGCCAGGCATTGGCCATCAGCAGATTTGTACAGTGTACTATGAGCAGCCATGCTCCACTGAGAGCTGCTGGGAAAAGGGCATATAAGGTGTATGTATGGACCATTTTAAGACAAAACTGTTCAAGTCAAAAGTATAATCAAGTGTTTATAGTGTTGTTTGTCTGTTCCTGTTCACTTTTTTTCATCTGTGCTGTCTCCCCAATTATTCTCTCTTTTTCTCTCTGCTGAGGCAAATGGCAACACTGAGCTGCTGAAGATTTCATCCTGTTATAAAGGGAGTTTTTTTCTCCACAATGTTTCCAAAATGCTGGGATGGGCAAATTGTTTATTATAAACATTATGTTTATAATATTTAATAAAATAAATACTAAAATAATTTTTAGTATGTTTTTATGGTCAAATGCACTGGTGTTTTCTTGCGGAGGCCAAGGGAAGGCATTCTTCCCCACTTTTTTCACAATATAAATCTAATTTAATAAAAACACTTCTTTCCCCTCCAATTCAATATCAATTCAGCAATATTCTGATGAAATAAATATTAAATAAATATTCAGCAAACCACTGGACATAGGTCTTCTAGTAAGCTTTTCAATCTGTCTGTTTCTAATTTGTTTCTAACTTCAAAATAGTGAAATCAAGGGGGGTGTTCTGAAGAAAATAAAATTGACCAATCAGAATTTTGGTTGAACCAGAAATGATCGAGCAATAAATCGACCAGTTGGCTGAGTTAAGTTAAGTATCGGATTGGACAGGCTATTGTTGTTCTGTTCGACGTTCAACGTTGATGTCCAACCATCATCAGTCTTGAGTATCAGATCAAGCCATGCCATGTTATGACTTTCAGCTAAATTTGCCATCCTTTAAAAAGACATTTTAATTACCAAGAACATTTGTAGAAATAAAAAGAAAAGAAATAAAGAGACAAATCTCACCTTTTCATATGGATCAGAGTCATAGTTAAGACCAATCCCGCAGTCATCTGTGATTTCAGAAAGATCTTCATCATCAAACTCCTCTAGGCTGATGTCGTGAGATGGTCTGAAAACACACGGCAGTGTTATTTACTACAAGATGTCATTGATATATGTCCAGTGATTCATGCCCCGTTTTAATGAAAACCCATTTTAACTCACTGCTAGTACAGATATCTGTCTCAGTGTCACATGGAGGCAGATCACAGGCTGCCACACTAACATCAACATAACCTAAACTATTGACTGTGTGTGTTTACTGGTTCTTCAGGGATATAAAGGACCCAACTTCATAATTCGTTGAATGTTGAATGTATGTGTAGGATCTTTCAGTATATTGCGACAGTGCACTAAAAAGAGAGCAAATATATTTAGGTATATTATTTTTTCATGTTATTATTTGTCATAATATCTGCTGCTACCTTTTTGCTGTGTTTAGATTATTTTTATGTATTTATATAAAAGTTGTTTTGTTTTTTTTAAAGTTGCTGAACTTAGGAGTGAGTGCAATTTGTGGGAAGTGTTTCATAATTACTTGAGAATAAAAATGTCCTGCTGCACCTTTTTGTGAATGCTGGCAATTGAAAACAAAACAAAATTCTGTAAAATATGTATAAGTCACACTTGCCAAAAAAAATCATAATCAGCCTAAAAAATGCAGTTTGCAATAGATTGATTGCATCTATGGAATTAGTGCGTAGTACTATTTATGTAGTAAAATTTATGTTTTAATTTATTTATTGTATTTGCTCAATCTCTAATCGTATTTCCTTTGCGATCTACTGGTAAATCATGATCACTAGTCAACACTGTTCTATAGAAACAGAAGTACATACTAATATACTGTGCTTATTAACAACAGATACAGTTAGACACTAGTTGTTTTGGCTCTATTTCTTCATTGCTTCATCAATTTCAGCAGGCCTCTCAGTTTAAAAGCAGCATGTCTTTAATGATTAAAGGGAAATGCTGCATTGCAGCTTTCCTGTTATGAAAGAACACTTGACTTATGCTGTTTGGATACAAGCTTACGTTATACATTAACACAGGAGTCCTGTTTCTACAATGTCAGTGGTCACATGGAGCTGATGGGGATGTGCTGAATGATGCACTCAAAAAGAGGAACAGGGCACGGCAGAAGGTTTCTGTACTGCTGCTGCTGCTGCTCTGCTTGATTTAACAACAATGTTTTGGATGAGATATTACATGGTGATGAAGCTCTACCGTTAGGAAGAAAACTTCATAATACACTGTCCTCTGGGTAGCACACAGCACATAAGCACATTGTCATTGTCTTAGTAATCCTTCCTGACAGACTGACTGAAGAAGAAGAACAAATACAAAGTGGTGGATCACAGAGATTTTTAGGATTTATATTCTGTTAATCGTGATCTGGGCACCCTCGTTTTTTTAGCGTTATTCTGGGTAACGACTGGTCAATTTTAAAATTTTCTAGACAGAAAACATCACCTGTCATAAACAGGTCTACATCATCAACATTAATTATAAATTCATAAAAAGATCCTTATGACTTTCTTTATGCTTATGACGGCAACTAGAAACATGATATCTACAGTACACTTTCAAACAAATTTGCTGATCACTTTTCTGAACATTTTGCTGCAGTGTCTGTCCAACCTTAAATACAACTATACAAGCCTTCAACTTTGCCTTTGACATTTTTATTTTGGTCTTGTCATGTCTATTTTCTTCTTCATGACTTCCTAACTTTCCTTATTTCAGCAGAAACTTCAATCAATAGTCTTTTCTCTGCAACATCCACCCTTTATTTTTCAAATATTTGAACCAAGCCCTTCCTCAGCCTTTTCCCCTTGTTTCCCCTATTATCTGCCGATACCCACTTATCTGCCGATAATTACGCTTCTCCTGTGGTGAAAGTGTCCCTGTTCTAAAGACCCATCTGCTTGATGAGGAATTTGCATGACGACATCTCATTAATGTTTCTTAAATGTATTCAGAGTGTTTACAGCATTGCACCGAGGCAGCATGGCTGAATTTCACAAAAAAGGTGACAATGAGGTCATCAGTGCAAAGCAAAAATGCTGACAACACAGCGTTTTCTGTCTTAAATATCCAGGTCGTGTCCTGTGTCAATGTTAGCCCAAATTGTCAACCTGCTTTCACTTAGCCTATGATTACATTTAGAAGACGAGGCTTTGACTGCAGGCACCGGCAGTCAAGTGTGTTACTAAATCAAAATCAGAATAATTAAAAACATTTTATGACTGCCAAAAGATATATGCAGAAATTATAAAGACAGTGTATTTTCAAAAATCCCAAACAAAATAGTATAAAGGTTGTTGGACAAAGGCCAAAACACACAGGGCACTCATTTGCCTCATACCGTATACCTTTGTTAAAAGATTGCTAATTTCTTATTATTGACGGTGAATTTTTAAATTGATTGTTCCAGTTATGGTTTTCATTCAGTTTTAATTTTATCAGATCAAGACAAAATGCTAACACAGCCTTTCCACTATATATTTACTGCAAACCAACCTATTTCTACTATATTTTATTTCTTCACCCAATGAATTTTGATAAGAGAACTGGCAAGGAATCACATCAATAAGTGATGTCGATAATGGAGTAATACAGTACATTTTCCATCAATAGACAATAGACAATTCAAAGCTTTTTAACCATGAACACCTGCTGCCTGGTGACATCATAATTAAATGAGGCTACCACCAATACATCAGCAAAATCAATTTCCCTTCAGCCTCCAGTAGCACATGCCACACACATGCACACATGCACACACAAACATATAAATCATACCACTTCCAATAATGAAGGATTCTATTGTCTCTGAACATCACATAACCTCAACAATAACCGTGCCCTCTTTCCAGGCCGGGGAAGGAACAAGAGCCTGTCTAGGTACCAACGTGGCCAAACCATGTTGAACCAAAGTGATATTTCCTGTATTTAAGACATATACCAATATATTTATCTAACAACTACAGAATGCAATGTCCGTTTTATTTGATTGCAGAACTTGTATATCCGTGCAGTGACAGCTAATATATAGGTTATATATATTAGGTTTGCTGTAATAGTCATTTACTGTGATATTAAAAAAAAGATTTTTGTAAAAAGAAGGCTTTATCTATAGCTTTTCTTACTACTTTATACAGCTTAAAAAATGAGCAAACAGCAGAAAAATATTGAGATATGATTTTTTTACTATAAAACATGGCATCAATTTTTATCACCACAGGCAGGGACAACTCTTTGTAGAGCAATCATGGGTGTGCGTGCAGGCCTTTATTGCCTCGCCGATGGCACAGGCAGGAATTATTATTTTAGCACTCAATATATGGAAGGAATAAATGAATGTTTCAGCTTTATTTACTAGCATCAGAAATGGAAATGTACAAAGAAAAAAAACAGGAAAAGCCATTGTGCAATAGAGAGCAGCAGGAGGACACAGCGCAAAACAAATCAAATTGGAAATGCGTTAAGCTTCTAACACCACAGTAACCTCATATCCACCATGACACACATCACCCTTTCCTCCAGATTTGCCCCCCTTTTCCTCCAGGAAAAGGGGGGCAACCGCTGCATACCATAGAAATCATAGATGATAAGAAAGATTCTTAAAGCCCACCCAATTAACATCAATATAATCCATTTATGACGAGAAAGGCAAGCAAATATTGCTTGCACGATTAAAAAGCTGGTTGTCTGGATTAAACTATATGACTTTCTTATGTAATGTCTTTTCCTTTTTTGCCTACAAAAGAACAGGAAATATTTCCAAATCCTGTTATTACTTCTAAGAACGAGAATTGACAAGCAATTGCTTTTTCTGATACCAATAACAAAACCAATTCCTTATTGATTCTCATTGGGTAAAAATACAAAATAAGATATATTATAAAAATGTGTGTTTGCATTGAGTTATTCATTTATACTCAACACGTGTGAAAGGAAACATTAATTGCATGGCTAAATGTTTGTTGTAGGTATTCCCCAGGTTTTTCATTGTCAAACCTGTCTTCAGACCACGTCTGCCTCACTGTTAACATTGTGAATTTTTTAAACCAGGGAGTTGGATAAAAATTCCCCCAGACATTATAATGCCTGTTGGTTGAGGTAATACAAATTTACCAGATAAACATCCACACACAAATTAAGAAAAATGCATATGATGCAAAACTCCAAAAGAGACATTTTGAAGTGTGTTCATGTGCTATTCTTGAAAAAGAAAAATCAATGACTGTATTTTGTTAAAATAACTGTGGGTGCTCTAAACACGTTGAAAATCTAAATCATATTTTTTTTAATTACTTAAAACAAGAGATGCACCAAATATATGGTGCATTTCCGGCCAAAATACTTTCATCACCAAAACAACAAGGACAAAGCAGGATGTTGTGATGACGCAAGCAGAAAAAAATGTATTTACTTAACTACAGTAGATTTGCCCTTTTGCCCTGATTAATGGTGGATTTTTAGATGATTTCAGTAAAAAAAAACTACTGTATGCTTTGGTTGTAGTAGCTTAAAAAATGCCAGTTCAGTAGCTGGTAAAAATGTAAATTGTGTTTTGATAAGCTTGTTTCTCAGCTGAAATCATTAGTGTCCTTAATGGTCACACAGTATAAAGACTTTAATCAGGTATCGACTTGATATTATCCTTTGTGAGGCGAAGCTACAGTATGTAACAAAATACTGCTTAAGTGCATGTTAGGATGAAAAAATCCTCTGGGAGCTGCTTGCTAATGTGATTGCATCATGAAGGTCAACAGGACATGTTGCCATGCACACACACACACAAACACACAGATGCACACAAAGACTATAAATTGTACTTTGCATTCTATAGCCTCTAATAACAATAATTCATGATAGTCATTAGAATTACTTTTTTGTTGCGATGATCATTAAAAAGTGTTATGTTTTTCTTTTTGCAGTAAGATAAATCCCACAGCAGTTTTGCTGAAATAATGACACATCAGAATGGAAATACAAATCCAAAGAAATTTGATGTATTTCTATATACCTCTATATTATATTTCTAAAACATTTCTAACTAAAGTGAAATCCATTAAAATACTTGTACTTCCCTATTTAAATGTTTAATCTAATAGTGAAACAGACATTGTTGATTGCTTCCACCTTGTTTGTGCAACTCAGTTATGTCATGTTTTAATGATAATGATAATGATCTTTCGACTGGTATGTTGGCAGCAAATAAGGCCTGGGTCATTGATTCAATAACAACAGACGATCTACAGCAGGGCTGCCCAATAAGTAGACTGAAATTCACCAGCACTTCGCAGAAAATGAGTTCTGGTAGATTGTGAAGAATTAAAATTAAAAAATATAATTCTACAGTTTTAGTGTAGTAGTGACCATACATTCAAATTGGTTTTAAAAAGAAATAGAGGTCATTGATTTATTGTTCAAACATCTTCAACTATGATCAAGTTTCCGACACAGAATGAGTAAGACACACTTGTTAAATGAACGAGACTGTGTCTATGTGTAAAGACAAAGATGGAATATCAGATGGAGAACACACAGGACATGTGTAAAATGTGTTTTATGACCAGACAAACAGATGTCAACAAAGAATCCGGTCCATACTGCAAAGCAAGGAAGAATTAAAGAAGTAATGATTGCAATGGTCTGGTGTGATTTCGAGTGGGGGATCAAGAAGAGGGAAAAAGCTTTGTAAGCAAAACGCATCAATTCTCACTGCTCTAATCCACTCATTCTCTGCTTAATGCTGCACAACGGAGGTGTTTTATGGACGCTATAATTACTTCTTGAAGATCAGGAGAGGATATCCTCCATGTCTGCTAGAGAGTTTGCACTTTGGGGATTCATATCAGGCGCTGCAAACTGGACGAGGTGAGAGAAAATATGCACCGTTCTAAGACACTATTGGGTTTGCCTAGTTTGCTAACTTGAGCTATTAAATCAGATGCATAGTAGAGTATACAGTGACAGTTAAGTATGTATGTCATTAGTGACGAGGCAACAAGGAAACAATGCAGAGCAGATTTAGTTTTGACTTAATATTAACTGTTTGTTATGTTGAAATAAACAAGAGTTGGATCGAGACATTCCTGAAAATGTGAGCATCTAAGGTGTAGTTTGTGGCAGAATTACGATGCACATTGTGGCGGAATATTCAACGCAACTTCCTTGTTCAAGAAGAATGTTTGTTTGTGTTTACTCATAGTAGACAGTAGGCAAATGCAAAAACATCATGACCAGACATAGAAATCACTTTAGGGAAGACTGGCATCTTTTGTAAATAAGTGATAGGATGTTAGAGACAATGATTCATATTTTTCAGGCTTTTCAGACTGTACAGCTATACCAGGAACAGTTAATGATGTCATATTTAATGATGATGATGATGAGGATGGTAATGATACAGATGGGGTCGACACTGATGGTGACAATGGTGCTGTATGATGTAGGGTTAACAGTGTACAAACCAATACATAGGCAGAGAATTTAATTTGCTCCAATCATCTTGGAGCCTACTGTATTCAACTCTGTACCGCTGCTGTATTTAGTTACAGTAAAGCGAGGACGAGGCCTCAGGTGGTACGTAATGATGCTCCCAGAAATGTGTACCAGTTCTAATAAAGGACAAGAGGTAGCTTTACATTTGTGTCAGGTAATTTAGATGACATCCTTTCTGTCCTTCATTTAGTATTTAGTATCTGCTTAAAGGATACTATATCAAGAACCTAAAAAATACTGAACGAAATGTAGAACATATGATCATATTTGCAACAACAGCTTATCATTCAAGTACTGTATCAAGTACTTATACAAAGGTGGATGTGTAATTACGAAAATCATCTTCAATATTGTGTGACGTTCGTGTCCAGCGTTACGTTCATCAGGAGAGCTCTTTGATACAGCATCAGCATCAGCATCAGTGAGACTTCCGTTGTTCAGCAGCATCATGCCCTTGCCTGGAATGGGCTCAACAGGGCGTGGGCCTCACACAGAGAATGCGCAAACAGGTTTACTGTCGCCAGTGCTCAAAATCACCCAACTAACATTCGATACACATGAAATATTTAATTTCCCCTTCGTTTTACATAGGAAACGAACAATAATCCGCTTCAACGTCAAACATGCAGCACCGTCAGGCTGCAGTGTCTACACAATACAGGCGGGCCTGACTTGTTTATATGAATAAGCATCCCCGTGCCGTTGATTCAATTAGGTTTGTGCTACTGACACCATAACAACAGATTATTAAGTGTCTATGTCTATTTACTTTCTGTGCTTTCCCTTCACATCATAGCTGCATTATCCCTCTACACCCCTGTAAGCGCTTACCTGCAGGTAGGAGGGGAGAGGGAATGAAAGGTGGAAAGAGAAAACATCTCAGCCCTGTCCGCCATCTTCTCCCGCCAATGACTCACGGCGAATGCAGAAAACCACTGCGGAAAGAGACTCAGTCCATTCACAGCGGCAGCAAAGCAGGCAGATGACTACGGGACGGACGCAACGGTGGTTGACAACAGCAGTCTGTCTCACTCTGTCTCTGTGTGTCCTTATCCCCTCTGCGGCCCCGCAGACGACTGACGCCTCCTCCCTCTTGCTTTTCCTCCTCTCGCCTTCAATCACGGGAACAGCAGCACCATCAATTCTGCGGCATGTACTTATTCACACCAGCAGGGGCGCACACGGCTCACTGCACCGCCTACTGAAATGTAAAGTAATAATAATAAAAATAATAATTGTATTATAATTATTATATAATTATTATTATTGTTCTAATGATTTACGCAGAACACGCAAACGGCTGTGGCACAAACGCCTAGACCGCAGTCTATGTTCGTGTACGCCAGATGTTTTTTGTTGCAACGCAGGGAGTACGGGGATTAGGAAAGGGGAGGGGGAGTAGCTGTGCGACAGGAAGCGTCAGAGGAGGAGAGGGGCAGACAGCAGTTGCGTGCGCATGGCTGTGTTGAGTGGATGCTGTCAAGGCCTGCAGGTGAAATACAATTCCTCTTCCCCCCCTTCACAAGTGCCTTTCAAGCTAAGTTTTTTGGTTATGAGCCAAATTAGACACCGTGTGACACAAAGACAGAAACTAAAGACGTTAATTACTGGGCAAACTCCGAAATTCATAAGATGAATCCATGGCTTCCATCATCCCCACACCTCAACTACGAGTTGTGCTCTTAATCAATGTAACACCGACAAAAACTGTTACCTCACTTGCGGAGGTAATAAAAGAAACAAGCTACTTGTGCATACCTGACCCTCAGGCTGAGCACTGTGTACTGTACTGAGGAAGCTCAGTGTGGAGCTGTTCGTCGCTCGTGGTGCTGAATGTGAGCGTTTGTTCAACTACAGCTGTAGTTGAGCACCTCGGCCACACGGGAGCAATAAATACCAATTTTGAGTATATATGTCTTACAGTTGGCAGCCACTTTGACTTACGTAAAACATGGCAGAGTTGTGTCAGTTTTCTTGTTTAATTAAGTCATATTAAAAACTTATTTATGATATATTTTGTTATTTTTTTATGTGATATGCAACACTCACTTTTGCTTTTTTAATCCAACACTTAGGATTGTTGAATATGCAGTTAGTTAATACCTGATATAACATGCCCAGGGTCTTTTGCCCAAGCACTGACTAATTAAAATAATTTCACAAAAGAAGACACTAAATCATTTTCATTTCATTTTTCCATACACGATGATACGAATAAGTATAATTGCAATACTTAGTGTCACCTCAGACATAGTTGGAGTTTTGCTTTCCCCTGAGTGGACTGCATGAAATGTAATAAGCCCCCTCTTTTTTTTTTTTTTAGCACAATTGCATTTTATTTTACATAACGTGATGATTTAGTCCAGAGCAACTGAGCAGATGTTTTCCATAAGTAAGATTTAGGCAAATGTTTATTGTACCTACTCCGATTAAAATTCTGTGCCATCTGGTTTATGTTTCTTGTCTCTTTAACTTTCACATTTCTTAGAGGTTCAATGGCAGTTGTAACCTTAGAGCAACTGAACAACATGCAAAGAAATATATGACCAATGAGAATGTTTATTTCTGTGGTAGTTGAGATGGCAGAGAATTAAGTTAAGCTTCCATCTTATCTTCAATGTTCACGCCCACGGTGACAATGCCTTCCCATTCGAAAGCTATAAAGAAAAGCAGAGAGTCTGGAATTATCACTCTGGTATTAAAATGTAAACAAGCATATTGGTTCGTACATAAATGCGTTACCTTCTTGTTTAGACAAGTCGCGTATCTTTCTTCCAGGATTAGATGGCTTGCCAAAATGACCAACATATCCACCGCCATATCCGCCGGTTGATGAACCACCACCATATCCACCGGTTGATGAACCACTTCCGGAGACACCTTGAGCTGCTGCAGTTGAAATTCCACTTGCTATGGCACCAGCGGAACCCCCGACTGGGCCAAAATTAGCAGACTCACAAGAGTCACAAACTGAAGGAGTGCCACTGACTTCCCTCCACCTGAGAAGAAAAATGGAACAAAGAAAGTCACATCTTATTTATTTGAACTTTGTACAGAAAATAGGTCTACTGTGTTGACACTTGAGGTAAACTCACCCATTAATATATGAACAAGCTCTGTGTTCGTTGTCATATTGGTAGGCAGCTAGTGTGGCTTTCAAGTGGCAGGTGATGTAGATCTGTTTTAATGACAGTGGGTTTCAGGGATTTAATACGCAATACACTGCTGTGCTTTGACATGAACCATTAAGCTGTGCCGGTACCTACAATTCCACTATCAGCACCTTGGAACCTGAATGCCTCCAATTGGAACTGGAGCTTGTATTCTGCACTGCGTGCCAGAAATTTTGAGGCAGAACCAGTGATTCTAGCATCAACGAAACACCTTCATAAACCAGACAAAAGATTATTGAAAGGTTATTGCATCTGGTGTGATGAGTCTGTCACTTTGTAACACTGCATGGTCTTACTCTTTAAAGCAGTGTTTCCCAAACTTTTTCTTCTGGGAACCCACATTTTAAAAGTCATAAACATCTTCTGGGAACCCATATTTTAAAAGTCATAAACATCCGTGACCCAGGTCAATAGACATTATTCGTAAACATGATGCGATATGACCCCCCCAAAAAAGGGTTGAGACCCAGTCTTTGGGAAACAGTTTAAAGTACCTTACCCATGGTTCTCAATAAAGGCATATCTGGGGTTGGACAATGCATCAGTGGTGAGAGTAGCGACACAGTTGTCCACGTAGACACGCAGAGGTGCGTGGAAGTACTGCTTGACAGTTGCCTCGATATTAATCATATCTCCAAGAAAGTACTGGTAGCTCGGTCTCTCAAATTGCCAGTCATCTGTGCAGTGGATGATGACGTAATGTTTTCAATCACTGGACAGCTTGTGATGTCGGGGAAAGTATGAAGTAAAGAATTTGTGCCTCACCTGTCATTAGTGTCAGTGTAAAAGACAAGAACTCCTCCGCTATCTTAACTGCGGAGAATGGGATCCAGAGAGGGTCAATGGGAAGACTGCTCACATTGTGTTTCCTGAACAATTGAACATATTAGAGTAGAAACCAGAAATTGTATAGCGTTATAATTATAAAAATGTTAGAATTTAATAACATTTTTGTTTTTCGATGTCGGTCCTTAATTAGGATAAATTGATCAATTTTGTTTGTATTTGTATATCCTGAATTGACGGCTTCACCTTAGCTGGAATTATGCTTATAGAAGAATGTTTTCTTCCTAAATGGACAGATTTGCAAGAACACTTACCTTGGATAGTGGCATTCCACAATTACAGCAGCCTGGCTTGTCCTTACCACTGGAGAACCACCCAGACTTTGTGGGTTATAGTTTAGGGTAAAAGTGTAAACAAAGTACTCTCCTCCCATCTGAGAGGAAAAGAAAATATATTATTTGTAGATTACAAAATAACATCACACATCCACATTTATGTCGCTCTTTCACGTGCTTACAGCTAACGTGCTGCCACAGTCATGGAGCTGAGCTTCAAAAATCAACACATGTGCTGCATTGTCCTCTGCAACAGCGCCACATGTTCCAAGGGTGAGGTCATTGGGATTGATAAACTGGCCGATCCCAAACATGTCCTTCTTCACTTCCACATGAGCGACACTTTCTCTGCACTCCACGGCAACAGTTGCAGCAGGAACAGGATACCTCAGCTCAAATGGCACATCAGGCTTGGGCTGTGGCTCGGGTACTTGAGGATACGTCCAGGTCAGTGGTTTCTCAAATTCTTGCTTTGACTGTTGGGGCTGTTGTTTGGACTCAGCCTGCGGGTAACTAGGTTTTGAGGGCTTTTGCGGCCACTGAGCATCACAGAGGCTGCCGAGCAAGGACAGTGCCACGAGGCACACGGCGGTACACTTCATCATCACGGCTTCACAACAACAAGTGAGCTGGACAGTTCACTGGGTGCTGTAAGGAAGATGGCAAGCTGTGGGAACTTTTATAACACAGTGAGCATAAATACATGCCCTCCCCTTATTTTGGCCACTCCCCTAGCCTAACCATACATGTTAGAATTGGTCATGTGTGGACAGGTACTTAGTTGGAACTTACTTACTACTGTGTGGACAGGTACTTAGTTGGAACTTTTAAAAAATGCACACGATGTGAATGCATCTAGAAAATCAGAATGCAGCCAAACATTAAAATTCTAAAAGAAGAAAATAAATAATTGAGGTCAGCAACAAGCTGACGCGCTCTTACTTTCCGTCTCCTTTCGTCATGTAATGTGTAAATAGTTGACATTAGCTTAAGTAAGTCAGCGTGACTTACTGCAGGTTAGGTTCCCTCGCCCTTGTATTGACACATCATCTGTGTTTACCTGGAGTTGAAAATCAATTTGGCAAGTAACCAGGTTAGGTCAAACAACTCTAACGTAATAAAAATATGATATCAAAAATATAAGATGACACATGTAAATTTAAATAAAAGTCCATCACATACAAACTATTCACTGTGGTTTTTTATACATATACGAGTCATGTTTCATCATGCAGCCCTGTAATGAAGACACTGTGACAGCTTTTGATGATGAAGTCATCGTTGTAAAATAAACCAAAATTGGTAAAAGAAAAAAAAGGTAAGAAAAAGGCAAGTAAACAGCTATTCTAAGAAATAAAGCCTACCTCTAACACAGTATTTGAATGTATCATGTGTTACTGATAACTGACTTTGTATTTGCATAAGGCTATGAAAATAAACCTTGGGGGTTATTCCAACTTTGGGGTCAGACCAACTTGATCTGCAAACATAAAACGTGTGCTAAACGTGTTTTTTTTCTTCTATAACTAACAACACAAATTCTTTTTTATTCTTTTTTTCTATTTTTGGTCAAATTACTTTTTTATATATTTTATATCAAAACATAACAGCTTGCTGTTACAAATTTCTGAATTAATACAAAATGCTGAACAAATTTTAATTTCACCATTTAAAAAAAAAGAAAGAAATCAACCAAAACATTTGACACTGTAAATGATCACAACACAGATATAATAAAGGCCAAACTGCAGGACCAACCTTTTGTGTAGCACAGTGAGGTTAATGCATGTTAATTCTAATATAGTCAAAACAAGATGGATTTTTTTTTAGAACTAATTGTAATCCATGTGCTTACATTATGTAAAGAGAATGTTTTTTATGTATATCTCAGAAAATTGATACAATTGTTTGTATCAAGTCACACTTTTTCACACAATTTCTCATGTCTTCATTGCTCCACTACGGACCACCCAGTCACTAAAGCATCTGATTGGTTGCACACAGAAAACAGGATCCATCAACTTCACCCATACCTTATAAAAGCCAGCAAATCTGCACATTGTTTTTCACAGCATTGTGTGTTTATGAATCACTCTGCTGTGAAGCCATGGCAATGAAGTTGATTTGTGGTTGTCTACTTGCAGTGGCCCTCCTGGGATCACTGGCTGGTGCCCAGTCCTATCCCCAGTGGCCCCTGTGCCCCCGCCAGCCCCAGAAGCCCCAGCCCCCCCAGCAGCCCCAGCGGCCTCAGCCACCCCAGAAACCCTTGCCACCCCAGCAGCCCCAGCGGCCGCAGCCACCCCCGGGGCCCCCGGCACCCCCAGAAGCCCCAGCCACCCCAGCAGCCCCAGCGGCCTCAGCCACCCCAGAAACCTTTGCCACCCCAGAAACCCCAGCAGCCCAAGAGACCAAGCTATCCACCACAGCAACCTCAAACACCAAAGATCCCCCCAAAAGTACCACAGGAGCCAACAGCACCGTTTTTCACTTGTGAAGTGGCAGAGCAGTTGAAGATACAATGTGGGCACCCCGGAATTTCTGCTCAAGAGTGTGATGCTATAAGTTGCTGCTTCGATGGACGCATGTGCCACTACGGAAAATCAGGTAAGCCTATTTTCCCAAGAATTGTACTGAACTACAGTTGTGAACCACAGTGTTAACCATGTTCTTTATTCTCTAACGTATATAGTGACTCTTCAGTGCACCAAAGATGCTCAGTTCATCGTGGTGGTGGCTAGAGATGCCACATTACCCAACCTTGACTTGGAAACAATCTCTTTCCTTGGAAGTGATGGAAACTGTCAAGCAGTTGGCACCACATCAGCCTTTGCCATTTATCAGTTCCCTGTCACTACCTGTGGTACTGTCATGATGGTAAGTCAAGCAACAATTTTTACCTATCCATTGGGTGTTTTCATAAAAATTATATTTCATTAAATATGAATAAATAATAAATAGCTAATATACTTGTACTTGTTTACATGAAAACGAAGGGGAAAACACAGACTCTTTGTTACATATAGTTAATTGTGTTATGATTGTACAACTCTGGCCCACTTGACATCTTATTAGGTTGTATGCAGCCCCTGAAACAAAACAAGTTTGACACCCCTGCTTTTAATGATTACATTTGATTTGATTTGATGTTCCTGCAGGAGGAGCCTGGGGTTGTTATTTATGAGAACAGGATGACTTCTTCTTTTGAAATTGCCATGTCAGATACTGGGATCATTACCCGGGACAGCAGCTATGAGTATTTATTTTTTATTTTTACTAATACAAAGTTGTCACATTTCAAAGGCTTCTAATGTGTAGATGTGTCATATAATCATATACCGTTGTATCAAGATTATTATATCAAAACCGCTCTCGTACAAGCAGAACACAGATCGTCTCACACATTCTCCTTGTTCTAGGCTCCTTGTCCAGTGCAGATATATTGGCACCTCTGTGGAAGCTCTGGTCATTGAGGTTGGCCTAGTGCCTCCCCCGCCCCCAGCTGCTGCTCCTGGACCTTTGCGTGTGGAGCTCAGACTAGGCAATGGACTGTGTAACAGCAAGGGCTGCGTGGAAGGTTTGTACATAGAAGCTTACTGAAGTAGCTAAGCTAAATAAAGACAATATGCATTTACTTTTCATCTTTATGTTTGAGCAGAGGAGGTGGCCTACAGCTCCTATTATCTGGATTCTGACTACCCCATCACAAAGGTACTGAGGGACCCTGTTTATGTTGAAGTCCGAATGCTGGAAAGAACTGATCCCAACCTGGTGTTGACGCTCGGAAGATGTTGGGCTACGTCTGATCCTTACCCTCACAGTCTTCCTCAGTGGGACTTGCTCATCGATGGGTATTAGAGTTTGTCTTTCTCCAATGTTTAGATCATTTAGATAGAAGGCTAATCCTCATGCTACCGACCCTTTCTCCTCTGTGATAGGTGCCCCTACCGTGATGACCGTTACTTGACCAGGCTAGTGCCA